TGACGGCCCACGGCTAAGATTGGATAGACGACGTCATGTGGAGGCATCGTGGGCTGCTGTTGCATCCATGGATCGCATGGCTGGCTGGTCGCTGCTCGCTTCCGAAACGGCGATACTGCCTACGCTGTGCTGTGAAACGAGGTAGTCGGTCCGCGCCTGGCACTGTCTCTTGACATCACGAGCCTTGGATTCTAGTGAGGCATTTCATTGGCAATTCATCGGCTAATCATCAGCCTCCGTATCTCAAATGCTGGGAGGCGGTTTTCTGGCAGGCTAGTTCGCCATCGTATTATTAGAGCCCGGCCAGCCTTCTCAACACAACATGTCCAGCCAGCACATCTGGGATCGAGTTCAAGAGCACGCCCTCTCCCCAAACGGATCCCCCGCTGCCTTGCCGCAGCTCTATCGATTATGCCTGCGCCAGCCGGTCCAGAATCCCAGTAGCGGTCGAGACTTTCATGTTGGGAACGTAGTCTTTGTTTTACGGGCTTTTTGCCATCATACCACCAGCGCGCTAACACTTATTCCTTGCCGACTTCCGTTCGCAAAGGCGCTCGTGTTTCTGGAACCGCCTCGTACCTCACGAACGGGTGTTCTAAAAGTAGACTTCATCTTGTATTGTGTTTACAGCTCGATAGAACCACGCGCGTACCTTCAGATACAACCAAGAAAAACCTCCTTTGTATATACATTCGTCACTGCGGAGTGCAGCCCGGATCATTACTAATAATAAGAAAACAACGAGAAGTCATCAACTTCCCTATACAGAAACATAGTCCCAACATGATATCGCATCCTCGTCTTTTCACACCGCCACATGGTCATTACATCCTCTATTTGTCCTTGTTCTTCAACCCAAAGTATAATCCAAGTGCCAACGCGATAACGGCCAGAATCAGGATGACGGTCAAGAGGATCCACCACTTGAGCCTGCGCGCGCGCCTGGCCGACTTGATGCCTTCGTCCAGCTGCTTGTTCGCATTCTCGGTATCGTCCTTGACTTGTACGGTTTGCTCCTCGGTCCGCTGAATGATGGGTTCTTGGTAGACGACCTGCTCGTTGAGCTGGGTGAAGAGGAGGGCAAGCTCGCCCATGGTCTTCTCGATGCGCTGGATGTCGTTGTGGCGGGCGCGGACGGCGCCAAGGACGCTCGAGGCTTGGCCGCTACGGTTCGACTTGAGCTGCAGGTTGTTAGTGACGTATCTCTTGTTTCGTGCGGTTTGTGTAAACTTACAGCTTGGGTGAAGATGCCCTCGTCACCCAGATCCGAGTTGGCAATCTCGTTGACCTCGGCATCCGTCGCATCCGGGTTGATGATGCGGTACTGGCGCCCGACAGCCTCGCGATACCTCTTGGAGTAGTCTGCCTCTTCCCTCTGGAAGTCCTCTAGCTGTGTCTTGAACGTCCTCTTCAGCGCCTCCACCTGCGTCCTCTTGGTCCGGTCGTTGGGGTCGCGCACGGCATCCCTCTCGAGGAACTTGATCTCGTCTTTGATTTGGGTGTTCCTGATCTGCGTAGCGGTCACGATGCTCTCGAGCTCGGCGGTGGAGCGGTTGTCGGGCGACGATAGCATGCGCTGGTGGACGCTTGCAATGGCTTGGATGTCGGATGTGAGCTGGCCGATGCGCGACTTTGCGCCTTCGATGCGCGCGAAGAAGTCGTCGCGGCTAAGGGGCTGTGGTCCTGGCGCCTCCATGCCTGGGTTTCCGCTCGGCTCGCCGTACGCAGGCATGTTGTTCATGGGCACGTCGGTATGCGGTACGTTGGGTGGTTGGGTGTTTGCGCCGGGTTGCGAATATTGCGATGGCTGCGAATAGTTGGAGTCGCCATGACGTTGGAGGGGCGCCGGCGGGCTGAGCTGCTGGGCCTGGCCGTCATACTGTTTCGTCGCGTCAGTCTTTGAGTTCAGGCGGCGCGGTCGCGACTGCTTACTCCTCCGTCATAGGGGTTGGCTGAGCCGTAGCCAGTGCCGCCATATGGGTTTGATTGCGCGCCGTATCCAGCCTCGGCCTGGCCATACGGGTTGCCGCCGTATTGCTGATAGTTTTGCGACATGTTTGGTGTTGGCTGGGATGGATTGGCAGCGTTGGAGCGATGGTTTCGGAATGCCGCAGTGGAGCTTGAGATGAGCCGCGGAAGCTACGGAATCTTGCGCTGACCGACGGACGTGAGCGCGCGGCGATTAGTCCAACAATTGTTCCGCGCAACAAGACTAGTCTTGGTAAAATGAACAGCGGATGCTGGGTCGCTGGGACTGGCAGTGCTCAAAATCGATTAATTGAACCTTGCCGTGGCCTTGTTTTGATGTGGGCTGCGAGGGAAATTAAATGCTGGGACCCTGTTGAACCAGCGAGCTCTGAGCCGCGAGGACGCACGTCACCAATCGCACGAAAACGGGCAAGGTACGCCCTTAGTCATCGCTAGTGACGATCGCCCGGGCGTAGCGTGCAGTCCCGTGCGAGGCGCAGCACCACCGTCTCCATCATCACGACAAGGCAGCATCGTTTTGATGGACCTCATTGTACACTCTCGTCTTTTCAATACGGTGTGTTGTTCGCGCGATTGCCCTTGGGTAGAAGTACAAGGCCTGCAGCGTACTCAGGTCTAGATCTTGTCGCCCACGGTAATAACCCGAAAGAGGTAGTGTCCGATGCGATATCGATCCCGCCCTGCCGCCATCTTTAACTGGCTACGTTCAAAGACAACCGTGCAACCCGGAGAGCATGACTGCGCCCTCAGCTCTATCACAATATCAGCGCCTACAACGTAGGCTATTGTCCTAAGGCACCGACTCGCAAGCACCACCCTTCTTGGCCGTATGGCATCTTGCTCAGTGTATTCTCCTGGTGTAGAGCGGGAACTATACAGGTTAGAGCTGCACTCATACACGGCGAAGCATATCAATGTCAGTTCGTGACCAATACGTTTTCTACCACCTTATACAAGGGAAAAGCTAAACACCCTAGAGCCTACGTTGACGTTAAACCCCCTACTTTGCATGTTTTTATCTTGATGTAGGCTCTAGGGTGTATCTTTTTTCCCTCATATGAGGGCAACGACTAGAAAGAGCCATCACAAAGATTAAGCCAACTTGCAGGATCGTTGGAGAAGAGTATCAGAGAGCGGATGCATCACCTTCTTCTTATGCGGGATAGACTTAAGTGGCGCTCCTAGATGCAAGAGCGGTTAATTTTTGTCTAGGAAGAGCTTATAGATCACGAGCTTCTTTCTCCAGAGTGCATTATAAGGAGAATAGAACTAGACGCAGCTATAATATCTAATCTAGTTTGTTTTCTTAGCAATACTCTTCTCCTCTTTAAGTATGCACAAGACTTAAGCAACTTAGCTCGCGGCATAATTAAGAAGTCCCCTCAAGACACCATAAGAGGCCTACCTCAACGTTGCGCCCCCCAGCATATCAGTATTTGACTGATCAATTTGGTGCTGGGGTGAGCGCTGTGCGTCGAAAACAGTCCGCGTCGGGGGCAATGCCAGAGGAGCTTGCTGGTCTTCACCAGGCTGACGATTTCCATCCTGACGAGTTCCATCCCGACGACCAGAGGTGCCCGATCCTCGCACTTGCCCTTGTGCTCCCGTAACTCCCATCGCGTTAGGGTTCTCCGTCCGGCTGTAACAAGTTCTGCGCCGTGCGGTCATGAAAGGCGCAACCTCATTCGGTCTATGCCGTTCCTGTAAACCCGCGACGAAGAAGGCTGCTTGGCTCTCGTAGCCGCTCTGAACTATCCAAGTACGCAAAGGAGCGCGCCATTTAGTTAGCTGGCCGGGGCAATCAAGCAAGCAGTGATGGTAATCTCCGCACCAGCTACAGGGGAAATGGCATCGGTTTGCATATAGGCGTTGTTGAAGGACGTCCCATGGAGCTGTGGGGTTAGTAGATGAGACTTGATTGTATCGGGCTGACTTACGCTGCTGTTCTGGCCTTGCTGCTCCAAGGGGTGACACAGGTTGCCCGTGCGTGTTAGGATGAGTAACCGTTGCTGAAAAGAATGGGTACCCCGGGGCGTTGTTTTGATAGTAGATTCCGCTGGTATCCTGGATAGAACTAGGGGCATACGAGTATACTCCTGGCTGGTTCGTAGTGAGATTTGGAGTGTATGCCATTGTTGGACAGCCGAGGCCACCACCGCTATTGTCCCAAGTTCCAGAACCGTAATGGCCGTTTGGAGCGGTAGAGCGTCCACTCCTTTGGCTAAAAGAACCGCCATTACCACCGCGGAAGTTGCTTCCTCGTCGTACAGGGCAATTAGCGCAGTCTTTTCCTGCGTGAGCAGAGTTAGGGCAGCCCACACAAAGTAGCTCACAGCTCTGCTGATAGTGCGGGCCAGCGCAGTTGAAACACCAAACCATCGTTGCTGAGACTGGAATGAAGAAGTACCTCGAGCGGATCAAAGATTGAGAGTATGCCACTCACCGGCGGTAGATTGTGTTAGCTCTGGTGAGATGCAGTAGAGAATGAAGGCAATGAATTTTACCGGGGTCTGATGTAGTCTTATAGCCTTCTTTTGACATCTTGCAAACTTACATCGTATTTGCTTTACCGTGATTTCCACCAGCAATCCAGCTGTGCGGGTACGACAGTTCTTACCAGGTGTGGCAAGCATTGCGCATTGACAGTTGTGCTATGCGCTAACCTACTTGCTGCTTACATCTAGCTGTTTTGCAGCAAGCAGCATAGCTTCGCTGGTATGTAGATTTCACACGATAGCTCTGTTGAGGTCGGACATTGAGCAAAGTATCAAAAGTTGGTCGTGTGTATACACATCAGAGAAGCTTTAGTCTATTGCGAGAGCAAGTACAATGAAAACTAAACGAGTAGAAAAGGCCAACTGCAAAACCAGGACCGCGAGGAGGCTAACAAAGGGCATAACGCAGATAGCAAATACATGTGATACAAGGAAATGAGAGACACACCAGCAGTCTCGCAACACCTACCACCCACCCCCACACACCAGGTGTCGATTCGATTCCACCGCCAACCCTCACATCCAGAACATCGTGTCCCTCAGACACGGATCCCAAGGATTGAGCCACGGCTTCCCATCCACATTCTGATCCTTGAACTTGTAGAAGTCATCTTCGACCCTCTCGAACACAAACCTCCTCAGACCCAGCACGATCTCCTTTCGATGATCAGCCTCTGTTGCTTTCCTGTCCTTGAAGTACTTCTTTTCGTCTTCATTGTCGGCGAACTGTCGGTTCTTCGGATAGAGTGAGTCAAGCAATGTCGTATATTGTTGTTCAAGGCGGTGCTTTTCCCGCGTGAGGGCTGCTTCAAGATTACTTGGGCCTACGACGTCTTCAGTCTTGACAAAGTATCGACGCATGTAAGTGCGGCTGCGTTCGCATAGGCGGTCGGCGTAGTAGGTAGGCGAGGCGTAGGATACACCGACTGTCCCGCGGACGTAGGAGAAACAGATAGCATGAGTCTAGAACAAGTTAGTCATGCTTCGTTAGAACGGGCTCGTGGGGATTCTTACCAGATCGCGCAACTTCTCCAGATCCAAGCCCTCGATTCCAGCCTCCAGGATGAAGTAGTGAGTGGGCTTCGCCGTTCCTTTTATAGCTGAATGAGACTGCAGGAAGAAGTCTTGGTAGTATGGAGACGTGACGAGCTGATCAACAAACAGACCAGGCTTCGTGTTGTAGTTACCGAATGCGTCGCGATCCGGGTAAGTCGGCTTCTTCTCGCCTCGCGGAGGGTCTGGCAGCTTATGTGACATTGGGTAGAAACGTGTGTGGTGACGTTTCGTGACGACTACTGCGGTCAGGCCCACCTCGGAAGTCGTACCGAACTTGTTCGCCAGCTTACTGTAAGCGTCGCGGATAGCTTGCAGTTCTTTCAACTTGACTTGTTCGTACTGGGTCGCACTGACACCATCTCTGTAGTAAAGGATGTTCTTGGGCAGGGTCTTCTTTTCGCTGTGGCGTATCCAGTCGTCGAGCCGCTCGGTAACCATGGCTTCGACCTCTTGGATGATCTGTGAAGTCAGTTTAGCGATTTGACAGAAAGACTGGAGATGAAACTAACCTCTCGATCCGTTATTTGCTCAGGCTTCGCATTGCCTTTATCATCTTTCGCTTCCTTCTCGATACGCTGCAGGCGTGCAGAGCCAAGACATCTACCCGCTGAGTAGTCCACAGATCCGACTATCGAAGCGATAGATGGGCAGCCGTCGAATGCACTTGGCCCCGCATGAACTACATCAGCACCAAGCACCATAACATCCTGCTGTGACAGATACGACTGAACGTCCTTTACCGAATGTGTGAAGCCGCCTAGCTTGAGGTTAATCTTCATCATGATGTTGGTGATGCATTCTGCAAGGAGGTAGTTTTTGTCCGGGGCCGAAAACTTGCTCACAACAACGACCGATTGGAGGCCGGATGCCCTCTCAGCTAAAGTCTTGAATCGTGAGTATATGCCTACGTTCGGCTTCGGTAACATGAGGATGACCAGATCGTAAGCGTCGTCTTTGGCAGTCTGCAGAGCAGCTTCTAGATCGCGGATTTCAAGGTCTTGAAGAGCAGTAGGAAGCTGAAGGTCGATGTCGCTAGCAGTGAGTCCACACCGATTCAGCTGTCGTTTGATCTCATCGGAGTACTTTGTAACCGAATCATCGTCCACGGCGAATTTATGTTGCTCTCTTGGGTAAACTTGATACGTCTTGCCGAACTCGTCCTGACGATCTTGTAACGGATCCTTTCGGATGCGGAGGAAGCCAAACTTGAAGACTTTTGGCTTGGTCGAAAAGAAGACAGAATCGGGAGGAACTTTCCAACGAGCTCCACCAGCCGCCGGGAGCGTCACTGGCTTAGCTTGGCGTCCTTCACTAGGATTGGTAGAATTGTTTGTGACGGTCTTGTAAGACGGGCATGGGTATCGGAGTATTTGGCAGGGAACTTGCATCATGGTGGGAACAAGTTGAATCGGTACTTCGTTACTGTTTCCCTATCATACAGAGTTAGCTCATTCATGTTTCAAGACTTCAAACACTTACTACGTTGCTGAATAGAGCGCTCGTAACGCTTTGCTGATCGAAGCCCAGATTACGCAGTCCTTCGTTCTCGATGAGGGCTCGGCTCTCGTCAGGCTTTTTCGCAGCCTCTTGGACCATCCCACTGGCGAACTTCTCTGGAACTGGCCGTCGATAGATTTGCCATGGCAGAATTTGGAGTTGCTCCTGGGCATACCATACAGGTTCCTTCTCCGTACCACAATTGATAGCTTTCCGCGTTGTGTCGGCTGTATGCCCGAAGGTGTCTCTGAGATAATTTACAACGTTGATGTGATTTCCTGTCTTTCTGTAAGATCCATCGGGATTCTTGGCAAATGTTCCGTCGGCATTCTTCACCCTCATCTGGAATGTCAGAGTGCCCAGGGCGGGGCCGATGAAGTTGACCTTCTTGGTTCGGCTACTGGCACTATTTAGCTTGTCATAGTTTGCTTCTTCGCCTGGGATCCTGCGTCTATCGGTTACGACAAACACTCGGAGACCTTTGAGGTTGTCTTCTTGATGACCACCAAAGGTATTTGTATCTTGGAGGAAGTTGCTGACGAGAATGGGCTTGAAGAACGCACTGGTTGCCAGGTTGAAGTTGAGAATGATGCATCCTGTACCGGGTTTGACATTGTAATAATAGCCGCGCACGATCTCGAGAGATTGAGACGATACCTGTCCTGACCAGAGTAGTGACCTCGCGTCTTTAACGAAAAATTTGTTGGCAGACTGGCGGTAAAGCTTGCTGTCATCAAATGTCTTCGAGATGACGAGGTTCAGACACCGAGATATGACGTCAAAGCTTTGATTCTCCTGCTGAGGATCCGCGTTTGAGTATCGTTGGAAATCACTGACGTCGATCTTTCTCACCAGTTCGAACTCAAGCTCGAGGGAACTGGTACCGTCTTGAAGTGTCATTTTCCAAAGGCCAGTGGATTCGTTGTCGCCTCTAATTGGACCTTCCAAGATGTGTTGATGAAGGTTCTCCCAAGCGACGATCGAGTCAAAGTTGTTTGTGACCAACTTGGTGTTGTGTAATTTCAAGAACTCCCAAGATTCGATAGCTTTCTGGTAAACTAGCTTCGTCCTCCTCTTGTCTTTGCTCCCGATGTTGTTGATCTTGTACTCATAGAATACGTCTGCTGAAACCGAATACTCGAAGTGGTTTGTAAGCACTTTCCTCTCCGGTTTGAGGTCGAGGAAATTCTGACGTATAGGATGAGTGGGTGACTCGATCGCACCGGAAGTCTCTTTGGCATTCTTCACTGCTTCAGAGAGCTTCCACTCTCTACCCACACCATTCGGCGTTTTGTCTTCGATGCTCAGATTTCGGAAGTCCGGATAACTCAGCTCACCCGCGAATGTTGCTGGAGAGGTCGCGCTTGCCGTACTAGCGAAACCTCCACGATTGCCTCCGCGATAACCCCCACGACCCCGTCCGCGTTGATTCATATCAGAGCCTCCCGGGGATGCACCGCGACCGCGACCCCGTCCGCGACCGTGGCCTTGGACTGAGCCATCTTGACTGAAGTTGGTGGGTGACTGCCAAGCCGGTTCGGCGATTGTCAGGTTGTTCATGCGGTCATTCAGAGGGTTCATCGGACCAGGGACTCGCGAGTTACTGGCATTGCCCTGGAAACCTTGGCTTTGTGATCCAAAGGTCGAGGTTGTAGGACGCTGCGCGAAATTTCCCATGAAGCCCATATTCTGCGGAGGCGCGTGGTACGGGATCGGACCACTTCCTCCTTGTTGGAGTGAGGCAATATGGGCATTTGCTTGTGCAGTTATGTTGAGGTCGATGATCCTTTGCCAAAGCCAACTTGGCCAGCGCGGTTGCGCTCGTCTACATTGCAGGATGCTGTGGTTGCTGTCACCGCATCTCTCGCAAGGAAACGTCGCTTGGTACCTGTCGATGATCTGTGCGAAATTCGCCGGAGTGATTTGTTCGATCTCAGTTCGCAAAGGTCGTCGTGATGTGCCCGATCCCACTGACCCACCACGTCCACCACGTCCGCCTCGTCCGCCACCACCTCTATCCGTACTACGTCCGCGATAGCCAGACATAGTCGAGATGAGCCAAAGATTGAACGAATGCCTGAATGAAGCAGCGGTGAAGATCCACTCCTGATACTGACGAGATGAAAAGACGCTGTGAGAATGAGGTGTAAGTAGGCACGTTATATCCTTCTCTTCACAGATTGCAAACCCATACCCGATTGATTAAGTACCGTGCTTTCTGTCAGCAATCCAGCTTTCATGCAACATACCCTTTGTTATTATCAAAACGCAACCCCAAACCTACATGTAACAACATCTTTATAAGAAGTCGCAAGCATTGCGCAAAGCTAAAATCTTAGGACAAAGCGATATGCCTGCTGATTTGAAGGCGTTAACATCTCTACTGGCGACGAATGTACCTATAATGCGGATCGATAGTCGCGATACGCGCCGACCGATGTACTTGCCGCTTACGTTAAGCTGCTCCGCGGCAAGCAGCATGGCTTTGCGCGTTTGTAGGTTCGCACGATAAGTTCCCTGAAGCTAGATACTCGATAAGAGAGATGTATCGCGTAACAGGCGACATGAGGGTTGATGAGGAGCGCGTGGTGGAAGTGGGACGGGAAGAGAGATGGAGGGACGCGTCTTGGGCGGAATGGGCGCTATTGACACATTGGGTTAGCGCATTGCCTCATTGAGTGGACACAAGTATAAAGCAACTTCGATACAATTCGCCATTCTCAACGCAGATTTTCGATAGTCGGTAGAAGAATATAGCCTTATCTTATGAAGCCATACTATGCAAGGAGGTACGGAACATCGCCACCAAGACAGTTCCGATAACTCCCGAGGTCACCGCGACCAAGAACCAAAGTCTCTCTCTTCATCATCCACCACGCCTCAGATCCCATAAATACCAAATGCCGAGACCCAACCTCAGCCCCCTCACTCCAACCTCTCACTCGGAAACAGCCTCCTCTTCCTGTTACTCCCACTCAGCAAATGTGCAAACTCCGGCGCCACAAACCCCCTGTTGGCATTCCCGCCACCGCCCACCGGCATCGGCACCGTATACTTACTAACGCCCCCATCGCCCCTGTAACTGATATGCTGGCCATACGCGTCCACTGTAGGTCTACCCATCGGCCCATTAAACATGGGTCGGTTATGGTTGACCTTCATATCCCTCGCACGCAGTAGGCCAGCCTTCCTCTTCTCGACTTCTTCCGCGTCGGCGATGGCTTGGAGACGGGCTTCTTCGGCTTTGCGGGCGTCTTCGGCGTCGCGGTGGATGGGACCGCCGATTATGCCGTGGCGGGTGAGGGGGTGGGATATGGAGGGGAGGAGAGAGGTGCCGCGGACGTAGGTGTCGGATATGTCGCCGAGGACTTCGAGGCCGGTTGTTGTGCCTGTGTACAAGGCTGGTGATTGGGGGAGGCGACCTAGAGACGTCAGTATGTATGTCATATCGCTTTTGGATATGGTTGTTACTTGCCCATTGGCATGCCCACTTTCGGTTTTCCGTACCAGAAGGGCTCGATGTTGAGGATTTGGGCGCGCGCTTTTTGAAGAGTTTTGTCGTCGTCAAATCGTTCTTCCCAGGAGAGGAGGGTAAGGTCGCGGAAGGCGTGGCGGAATGAGCGCATGGCGGTAGCGAAGTCACTGCCGCGGGGGCATAGCTCGCCGTTGTACGGAGCCTCTGGTGTTGGGGCTGGCTTGGTGATGAGGGAGAATAGGCGGTTGGCTTCGGAGTGCTGAGTAACTTCGTTGCTACTCAGATA